TGCCCTAACGAGTAAAAGCACCGGCAGCAATTAGGGGCTGGTAGCCAAGCAGATATAACCGACCGCACGACCCTATTAGGGACATCGTCCTAAACTCGACGTGCAAAAACCCCCCTCGGACCAGAGCGGCCGGGGGCCTAACCCTGCGCGGACTTCGCACAGCCCAGGTCGCCGCCGCTCTGTCTCTCTCGCACCCCCGTGGAACCACCCACGAGTGCGACAGAGACGGAGCGGCGATGTTCGGGCTGAGCCGGCTATACCGCACCACGACCGCCGAATGGCCATGACGCCATTATGTCTTCCACCTACCACTATATTACCCTGAGCCGCCCGTTCCTCCTCCCGCCTGACCCACATCGGCGGCAACTTCCTGGCCCAATTTTCGACATGAGCCTAATTTCACACTCAATTCACTCGCAGACTCGTACCGATTACTTATCGTAAGTAGCGTATTGACTATTGGCGTTAGGGTGAATAAATAGGGCTGTCATCAAATATATATGTATAAATGACGTTTCATCAATAACTGACATTTCTATATAGCTCAGAAACGAAATCCTATTAATTGGTAATAGCAAAAAGTCTACAGAGGATAAGAATGATGTGCCCATAGCCTGCCGTATCATGTCTTAGAAAGTAGCGCAATGATAGCTATCTTCCTCGCTTAAGTCTTGGAACTCATCTGGACCTTCTCGACATAGCGGCCACTCCAAAATTGACCTACTCTATCGTCACCTAGTGACCACTCAGCAAACTCAACTACAGTGTGCGAGCGTGTATAGTCATTTGAGAGCACTCCCAGGAAAGCAGTGTCCTTAGATGATTACACACCAACAGCAGCATGCATTGGGAGGCAGGTGCAAGTGCTCACACTTCATAACTCGTATAGTGAAGATTCCCTATATTATGGTGGAAATTCTTTATACTATGGAGGTGCAACGCTGACTTTATAACATACTTTTCAGAATTCACTAAGCCTTGTAGGCATTTTGAAGAATCTCGTTTGTAATATGGAGAAAATCCTCAGCACAGTATGTTGGTGCCGTCTTTCACCGTACTTACGGTGACGTATAGACTTGACTTCATATCTAAGTATAGCGAGTACCTTGCTGAGTTTGCTGAGCATGATACCTCCGCCCTATGACTCGATGCGTCCACGTCCTCGACACGCTCTCTACTTGACCACGGCGCGGCGTCGCACCTTAGCCCCTTGACGGAGCCCGGCCCGTCCGGCGGCCCCGTCCGTCGCGCTAGCACCACTAAGCCACTGCAGGCTCTTGATGGTCTTGGCCGGGGTGCGGTCAGAGGGGGGTAATTTGGGGGACGCTGGAGTGCCGGGCGGCCAGTGCGGCCAAAACGGTCTGAAAGGCGAGACGACGGCAAAGCAGGCAAGCCGGAGCGAGGCAAAAGCCCGCTCGCTGCAGTTGCAGCCCTGCCTTGATCTCCCAGTGCAAAGGGAACCTCAAGCAGCGGACTGATTCCGGGAGTCGTTTTCGTCGCTCCGTCTCTCTCGCACCAGTACGCGAAGCCCCGTGAGTGCCAGAGAGACAGAGCAACGAATACGACTCTCGGATTCAGTCTGCAGGCACGCCGGCAGCGTTGCAGTGCGGGACCACAAAGTGTTCAACGCAAACGCACAGTGGGCCAGAAGACCGGTGAAGGCGGCCAAAACTCTAGACGCGTTTTGAGCTCCAGAGTCGCTAAATGGGACTGAAACCGAGCGTGTGAGCCCACCAATGGATTCGTCGTTCAGAGAGCAATCCATTGGTGGGGTCACACCTTCGATTCGAGTCTCATTTAGCGACTCTGAAGCTGAAAACACGCGTCTAGAATTTTGGGCGCCTGCACCGGTTGCTGGCCTACTGTGCAGCGTTGCAGTGCGGGTCCACAAAGCATTCAACGCTCAGAAGCGCGGCCGTTCCCTTACGTCGCGTTAATGCCGTCAAGCCGCTTTCAAACTTTGACTGGCGACCGCAAGGCCCTTCCGGCGCCGCCGCGCGCTGTGTCAACATTTCACGCCGGGGTCCGTTGGCGGGGCAGCGCGGACGCCGCACAAAAATACTACAAAAATGCAGCAGCACCATTAGCCCGCCCGGCGGACCCTCGCCACGGAATTTTATATATCGCTGATGAATCATTTGGCGCCAAAAAGAAGCACGCCGTCGAACAAAGTTGAGAGGCGAAGGGGAATGCCCGCCGCGGTCTCGCGGTGGTGGTTTGCCCTGCCCTGGCCGTCACGGTTTTCTCTCCGTTTGCCGAAACAGAGAGAACGCGGGCGGCCGACTACTTCTGCAAGCCATCGCTTCGTGAAAGGAAGACCAACCCATCACTCTGCACTCACATAGACACACTCACTCACCTACACACACCAACACACACACCAACACACACACACACAACTTCTCCGCGGCCGACAATTGTTGTTTTCGCGATGCGCCGTGCATCCCGGGCAACAATGTTTCATCGAGTTTCCGGGCGCCGCGTCCCCCCCCCCCTCCTCCCCCGAGCCCCTCGCGCACCTCGGCGACGGCGGCGCGGCCATGGAGGTGTCATCTCGGTGCCCTTCTTTGTGGCCCCGCCGCTTTGTGTGCGAGACGCCGCCAGGACGCCGGGGAAGGTGACTGGACGGGGTATGGGTGCTGGAACGGATGGAGGACGGAGGCGGCCAGCTGGTTTTACCCTAGTATGTTTAGACGCGACTTACACTACACTCTAAATGTCTTACGGTGAAAGGCTGCACCAACATTATGGTGGAAATTTTCTCCATAATACAAAAGCATTTCGACAAAATATCTATAAGGTAGGACGAATTTTGAACTGTAAGTTACGAAGGCAGCTGCACCACGATAATAGAGAGAATATTTACCGGAGAATCTTCAACGAAAGACTTCTAGAGATAACAAACCCTGACTGTCAATTTAGCAACCCTTGCAACTCTCTACCACACTACAAAGCCGAGACTTTAGTGGAGAGGGAGGGAGTGCACACACAATGAATGTCTCACGGTGAAAGGCTGCACCAACGTTTTATGTTGAAGATCTTCTCCAGAATCCAGACGAAATACGTCAAATTATCTAGGTACAATGAATTCTACATTATTTTGACATAAAGTCAGCTCAGCTGCACCTTCATAATACAGAGAATTTTCACTATAATGTGTAAAATTTCCATCAGGGAGAGAATATTTACCGTAACAAACAGAATTTGCACCAGAGGATTTTCAGAAAATCTTCATCATAATAGAGAGAAATGAGAGAAATTCCTGCATAATACAGAGAATTGTCACTATAATACGGAGAATCTTTACTAGACCACTTCTAGAGTGCACTGAGCGCTGCCGACGAAGAACCAACCATCCCCATAAGTCCCGGTGACACAGAGACGCACGGGTAGCAAGGGTATTTTTCAGTTCCATTCCCGGAAGCGGGCCAGCGTTCGAACCGGCGCGCGCACTCTCCCAAGCGAAAGCTATTTTACATTGTAATGCATTAATATAAATGCAAAGCAAGGTGTGTTTTGAACCGAACTCTCGGAACTCGGCCAGAGTCACACGGAACGCGCCTGGCCAAACAGCAAAACGTCATTCCAGCCTCCGGAATGGCACCGCATCTTTATGGACCACGTTTCTGAATTATACGGGCCCCGGCCTGCAGACTGATTCCAAACGCCGTTTTTGTCACTGTGTTTCTCTCGCACCTGTACGGAGCGCCCTATGAGTGCGAGAGGGACAGAGCGACGAAAACGACTCTCGGAATCAGTCTTCTGGAGACGCTTTTAAATGGGATCCTCGGCGTCGCGGCGCAGCGCAGCGCGGACTGGAAAGGAATTGTCACCCATTTTCCACGTCCGGGAAGCAGCCGTGTGACGAAGAGGGGAACAAGGCACTAAGTTTTTCCTGCAGCGTCTGCTGAGGAAGTATTTTCTCGCGAGGCTTTGCGTGATTGAAGTCATTTGTCAGGTCACCTATGTACGAATTAAAATGACAAGGTCCTTTTTCTAACGTTTTCTCAAAAAAAATAATTCGATATAATTGATTCTTTTATATGCATGAAAGATACTAAAAACACTAGAAATACTAGAATTTTTAAGTAAGCACATAGAGGCGAAAAATGTGCGAGGAAAGCACTCCTCTTGTCATAACAACCTCCCCTTTTCCCCGAGCTTCGTGAAAGTATGAAATCATTTCTAAGAGTGCAGCGACGAGCCACACCTCGCGTCCTCCCCTCCGTGTTTGTTTCCGCTTGATCCACCACCCCATGCGTCGGCTCGCCTCGCCTTGCCGCTCTCTCGGCTGCTAACTCGTTTCTCGGAAAGAACGCGGCGCACGAGTGAAATGTCAACTCAACGCGTAAACTCTGGAGTGGTGGGGGGATGAGCCAAAGTCACTCCCGGAATAAGGTTTATGGCCCTTTCTCCACGCTGCATGCGTGTGCCCACGCCAGCGCCATCTAGCGGAGCCGCGCTGTGTCATCGCACCTGGGCGCCACTCCCCCGGAGGGCTCTCAGAGAGAGAGGGAGAGAGAGAGAGAGAGAGAGAGAGAGAGAGAGAGAGAGAGAGAGAGAGAGAGAGAGAGAGAGAGAGAGAGAGATGCCATCCAGGTCGACGGCCAGATGAGGCACTGCCTCAAAATCTTACGAAACTATACGCCTTAGAATCAAATTTGTGAATATTGAGCATACGTACGCTTCCGTAGTAAATAATCACCCTTGAATGGATATATAAATGAAACTCCATCCATTTTACACACTAAATGTATGGACTTTCTTTGTTTATGACTAACATAGCCATGTTTGTGCTTCGGTAAGCATTGTACGATTCAATACATAAATTAGGGATAATATTTCCATACTGCGCTCATGTATTCATAGATTTGTACCTAATTTATGGACAAATTTCTGCGTAACTAACACCTGCACAAATACGTCAGAGGTAAATTCTCATATTAACTTTTGATTGGTTTTTTTTTTCGGTGTGCAAAATACGGCGTTCGAAGCTGTACCTGTTCATGGAGGTGCCCCGAAGGGCGAAGCCACCTGGGACGTGTTCGCTGACTGACACCGGTTCCTCGCAGGACGTCACAGATCGGAGCAGAACGGGGCGCAGAGGCGCGGGAGAGCGCGGGAGGGCGCGGGAGGGCACACACGCAGGCACGCGCGCGCGGGGCGCCACACGCGAAGGGCTCGGCGCTCTGGCCGCTCACGCGGTCGGAGAGGTTAGGGTCGTGCCTCAGCTCGCTGCTGGCGCTGGCTTGGCTGGCTTGAGGGCGGTGGCTGGCGCAGGGTCCCCCGTGCGACGCAGGAGCAGGCGAGCCGGCTCGGCACTGGCGGGGGCGCGCAGCGCTACGCGACGCTACGCCGCGCGCAGGGCTGGGCGCTGGCGGCGCTAGGGCCGCGGTGCCGGGGCCTCCCTTCCAGCGAGCCCTAGCGGCCGCACCCGGCAATGCAGTGCCAAGCGGCGCACCGCCCCCGGCCGCCCCCGGCCGCCCCCGGCCGTCCCCGGCAGCCCCCGGCGCCTCGGCCGCGTGGATCAACCCTTTGCCGCCCCCGCAGCGACGCGTGACGCGTAGCGATCGCCCCGTCGCGCTTTCCTTGTCGCACGCATGGGACACTCCGTAGGAGTGCGAGAGAGACAGAGCGACGAAACGAGCCTTCATCATTAGGCGGCGAGTGTTGCCAGAAAGGTGGATAATAAGTGGCCCAAACACACCGGTCAGAGACGAGCTGTGGGCCAGAAGACCCGTGCAGGCAGCCAAAACTCCAGACACGTTTGGAGCTCTAGAGTCGCCTAATGGGACTCGAAGCGAACGTGTGACCCCACCAATGGATTGCTCTCTGAACGAGGAAACCATTGGTGGGGTCACACGTTTGTTGCGAGTCCTGTTTAGCGATTCAGGAGCTGAAAATGCGTTTGGAGTTTTGGCCGCCGACGTCAGCCTTCTGGCCCACTGAGCGACGGGCTGCATCTCCTCCTGCACTGGACAGTTACTCAACAGCTGTGTCGAGAAGTTTCCTACGCAAGAGGAGATGCAGCCCTTCACGCAGACACCGGTGTGTTCGTCGGGCTACTCTTTGCCCACGTTTCAGGCAACACTCTGCTCGTCGCGAGGCTCGAGGCCACTGCCGCTTGTAAAATTTCGAGCAACAAACAGTGCCGCGGCGCGTGGACAATACGCAATTTGTCATGCAAACAGCGAGTAAATGCCGTCGGAAAGCAAACACGATTCATGCCGCGCGAAGTAGCGAGCCGTTATGACAGATGTTGATGACCTTGAGGGGGAGCTCCCGGACTGGAACGCGAGCACCCTGGCGGCCGTGGCTGGAGCCGTGGCTGGAGCCTCGCCTGGAGCCACTGGGGGGTAATTAGAACGGTCTGGAGCCACAAATCCCTGGACAGGACGCGCGCGGTCTGCTGAAAAGAGACTCGCACACTGGAGGATGTCCTTGCAGTGGGTCAGAAGGCCTTCTATTAGGCGGAGCAATTTGTGATGTCAACAGCAATTTTTGACAGGAGCATTTTTTCGGTTCAAGAGCGTTTTTCTGTTTAAGAACATTTGTTCTGCAGAGCATTTTAGCAAAATGCATTTCTTCGACCTGAGGGTAGATTACGGAAATTACGTTTGATTTGGGAACGCTTAGGGCTCATCCAAGACGCCCATAGCCGGGTCCACCTGCCCCGCAGGCTGATTCCGAGAGTCGCTTTCTTCGCTGTCGCCCTCACACTCGTGGCGTATCTCTTAAAGGTGCGAGAGAGACAGAGCGACGAAAACGACTGCCGGAATCGGTCTTCAGACGACGCAGCAGCGACGCGGCAGGCTTGATTGCGCGAAAACACATCCCCGTGCCGAAATGAATCCGAGGAGCCGATCCATCTCTGCGACACCGAGCCGTTTCAAGATTACGTGTCAGCATTTTCTCGTTTTCCGGGCGAGCAGTTTTGAGCGCAAAGATATAGCGCGCCGGCCAGCCGGGGGTCAGTGCTGTTGTCGGGCGAGATAGAGAGAGGGAGAGAGAGGGAGAGGGAGAGAGAGAGAGAGAGAGAGAGAGAGAGAGAGAGAGAGAGAAGAGAGGGGAGAGAGAGGGGGGAGAGAGAGGAGAGAGGGAGGGAGGGGGGAAGAGAGAGAGAGAGGGGGAGAGAGGGAGAGAAGAGGGAAGGGGGAGAGAGAGGGGAGGAGGGAGAGGGAGAAGAAGAGGGGAGAGAGAGAGGGAGAGAGAGAGAGAGAGAGAGAGAGAGAGAGAGAGAGAGAGAGGGAGGAGACGACGTGGAACGATGTGCCGAGCGCAAAGTAGGGGACTCCCCACGATCGTCCAGCTTTTGGCTCAATTAGCTCAGGACCAATCGAAGCAAGCCGAAGCACGCCGAAGCACGCCGAAGGCCAGGAGAGAACGATGACGGAGTCCTTTTCCAAATGAAATTGGAAAACTGGGACGACCGGACCGGACCGGACGTCTCTGTTCGAGCCGCGCGGGGGATTTGTCTGAGAGCGGGCTAGATCAAAATCCGCTTATCCCGTACGAGTAGAAACGATAAAATCTCTCCGAGTTCCTTTTTTTTAAATCATCCCTATGCCCACTCTTAGAGCAATACTACTTGTGTGAGCGACCGAACGCAGAGGATTTTAAAAAAGAAGATGAAAGGGAAGACTACTGTTGCAATGTTTAGACACTTCATGACGAAATCGCGGATTACATCTCCATCACTTGAAAATAATGGCAATTACACCACAAATTTAAGAAATTTTCATGAATGGCTCACTGTACTTTTTGCATGGGTGTGGCGACAATATCATCAACAGGATTGATGACATTCTTGTAAGGAAACTCAGCCTGGAAATTGTCATCAAATGAGGAGGAGGAGGAGAAGAAGAAGAAGAAGAAGAAGAAGAAGAAGAAGAAGAAGAAGAAGAAGAAGAAGAAGAAGAAGACGAAGAAGACAGCGACGACGACGAAGAAGAAGAAGGAGAATAAGAAGAACAATTGACCAGACAGTTTAAAAATGAACACCAAGTCGTAACGCATTGTTTGGCACACCTTTGTCCGAGGGGGAAATCACTCTTAAAAACTGTGAACCGACTACTCCCTATTACGTTTACTACGCTATTACAGAAGGCTTATTACGCTCGAAAATATCCAAATTTAGGCTAAAATCGGACCCTAGATATGGCAAATTATAAAAAATTTGGCTATTAGGCTATTACTATTACGCGTAATACTAGGAATCGGTGACCCGACTATTACGCGAGTGCTTTCCCCCTCGCCTTTGTCCTTTGCAAATCGCTGTGCCTCCCGGGCAGCCTTTGGCCCTTTCGGCCACAACGAGCGATATACACCGGCAGCAGGCCCGAACAAACATACTCGTACATGCATGTGTGTAAACAGACACACTGTAGGCACGCTACCGCCGGCTGCCCGCCTGCCGCACAGGCGTCGCGCACCGTGTTTCCAGAATCGAATGCAAATGTTTGGAGGGCAAAGCGGAAGGGGGAGTCATATTGGGCATTGGCCTCGTGCAACTAGCCCGGACAATCCGATCAATTTCGCTTCCTGTCGATGGACATATCGCCCGGAGCGGCTGCAGGCATTTTCCTCGTTCATTTTCACAGTAAAAAGTCTATTGTGAGGCATCACTTCATAACGAAGGGATTGTAAAATCCGCGAATAAACGCTTTGAATTATAAGGCGGAATTCATCGTCATTCCTCGTAGTTTTGCATGATTTGCGAAGGAATCCTCCCACGCTTTCATTTTCCTTCGTGGGATGGGAAGTATAGATAATTCGGAGACATTTTTTTGCGAGTGTTGATTCTACCCCACGCCAGTTCGCATTAAAGCTTGTGTTTCTTTGCTTGCTGTTATGTTATTACTAGATCGAATGCATACCACCATGTGACCTTGGGAAGCCACTGACAGTATACCCGACGTGTGGAGATCTTCGGCGAAGGGATGTGACATCCACACCTGTGCGAAGACCTCCCCTCCTCCCCTCCCCTCCCCTCTCCCGTACCCCTGTGTGGGACGTTAGCACGCCAGCTCACGTTCGGCATCACTGCCAAACTTGGACCGCTATTGAGACCCAGTACATCAAGGTGAGAGAGCAAAACACACAGACGGAAAGGGCGACCAAAGGAGGTTCAACTAGATAAGAGGAAAAGTTTTTATAGGGTCGCGTGTATGGGTGGGGGCGGGAGAAGGTGGGGTGGGGGTATAGGAATGGGGTGGGAGGGGAGGGGGAAGGGGAAGGGGAAGGGGAAGGGGAAGGGGGAGGGGAAGGGGAGAGGGGGAGGGGGAAGGAGGAGTAGGCACGGGACACTAGGGTGAGGGGTAGCATTGCGTGCTGGGGGTTGAAAGAGAGGGAGAGGGGAAGGAGGGGAGGGGGCAGTGGGTGCGGCGCCACACCTTGCTTGAGGAATCAGCAGGCCTTGGCTGCCCGGCTTGCCGAGGTCTCGGCCGAGGTCGACAAAGGGCGTCTGCCTTCGTTATCGTGACGGGGCGGCCCAGCCGGCAGACTCATTCCGAGAGTCGTTTTCGTCGCTCTGTCTCTCTCGCTCTCATGAGGCGTCTCCGCACAGGTGCGAGAGAGACAGAGCGACGAAAACGACTCCTCGGAATCAGTCTAACTGGCGGCCTGGCGGCGGCTGCTTGATTAAAATGCGACTCATCTTGGCAAGGCAAACACAAATAGGCTATTTCCTTGCTTTGTGTTGCGCGCTGCTGCCCGCCGCGCCACGCCACGCCTCGTGCTGGTTTAATCCGCATCCTGCGCGCCGCCGTAACGCCCCTGGTGGCGTCATCGTGCGAGAAAGAGACAGGGTGGGCAAGGGGGCGGGTGCGAGAGAGATAGAGCGACTTGATCCAGAAGGGTGCGGCTGGTTAACGTCCGGTGACAAGATCACTGAGCGTGAAAAGAGTCATAACCCAGGACTACAATTTCGGGCAAGACATTCTTTATCACCCAAAATTGGGTGAGAAATCGTTTTACTGCCGGACTTTGGGTCATGGAGGATTTGGGCGTTGGAATGAACCTAGCCCGAATTTAGGTGCTCGTCTAAAACAGGGCATTGATCAAGAATCCTTTCTTAACACCTTCGCGCCGAAGCCTAACCTAAC